GAGGTTTAAGGTATCAAAAAAAAAAAAAAAAAAAAAAATGGCAATTTCATTTGGGTCAACCTAATAACATGCTACATATACCATCTATTACATAATATCACAGTGGGGGACTAGAGGTAGATCATTGTAAACACACTGATATTTGTACAGGTGCAATCACATGAATATTCACACCAAGTAGGAGAAACAGATTATAAATGTCCAATGCCAATTCAGTTCATGTTTGGCTGTCAAGTGGTTTATGAAAAAATGTTTGTTTTTTAGAATTCTTTGTAGTTTGCAATTGTGAAGTCCACATCGTAACAGCAAATGTTAGGTCTATGCTTTCTTGGGGCCTCTACTGTATATACTTTATGTGTATGATCTCATTTAACTCTCATAACAGACCCGTGAAATCAATACTACTAGCTCCATTTTCCAGATGAGAAAACTGATGTGCAGAGAGGCAAACTCTACATAAATGGTAACCTATAATAGAGTTTTTATTATTAAGTAATATACACATAGACCATGATATAGAGGTTTTTTTGTTTGGTTTAGAGATAGGATCTGGATGGAGCACAGTGGTATGATCATAGCTCCCTGCAGCCTTGACCTGGGCTCAAGCAACCCTCCTACCTCAGCCTCCTAAGTAGCTAACTACCACTTTGCCATGCCTATTTTTTTGTTATTTATTTATTTATTTATTGAGACAGAATCTCATTCTGTCACCCTGATAGAGTTCTGTGGCATCATAGCTCACAACAATCTAAAACTCTTGCCCTCAAGAGATCCTCTTGCCTCAGATTTTCTATTCTTAGTAGAGACAATGTTTCACTGTTGTTTAGGCTGGTCTCAAACTCCTGATCTCAAGCAATCCACCTACTTCGGCTTCCCAGAATGCTGGGATTACAGGTGTGAGCCACCACACCTGGCCTTAATTTTTTTTTTTTTTTTTTAGAGATAAGGTATTGCTATGTTGCCTGGGCTGATCTCAAACTCCTGTCCTCAAGTGATCATCCTTCCTCAATCTCCCAAAGTGGTGGGATTATAAGTGTCAGCCACCTTACCCAACCCTGATAGGGAATTTGAAACAATAGTGGAAGGGGCTGCTAGATTCATTAGGGTGATAAAGTATCCTCCCTCCCTCCCTGGATGGTTCTGGTTTGGCAGTTAGCACGGGGATCTTGATTACAGCCCAATCTGTCTATACCCTCAGCCCTATCCCAGAACTCACTGATTGAAGGTGCGGCCAATGCCCTCGCCAGGTTTCCAACCCATACCCCGCAGCATGGCCATTCCATAGGCCTCCACAGGCATTGCCTCATAATTAGCCTCCTCAGGCACCTGCAGGTTCAAGCAGAGGAAGGAGGGTCAGGCTTTGAGGACGCTTGGCCTTCTGTTGGAAGTGCACTTGCTATTTTGTTATAAACCCTCTATGTTTTTGTTTCAGCCAACTCTAGGGAGAGTTGATTTTTTTTTTTTTT